GGAAGTGGCCTGAGACCATAGTGAGAGCCCTTGGGTTTGAGTCCCAGGTCCACCCCTTACTAGATATTTGACCTAGCATAAGCCACTTCCCATCAAGTCTATGGTTTCCTTACCTGTAAGGTATTTAACCGCTACCATACGTACCTCACATGACTGCCGAGGGCACTGGTCGTGTGAGGTCATGGGTGTGCAGAGCTCTAAACAAATACCATATGTTCTGATTTAAAGGGAGGACCCAGGCTGAAAAGAGATGGTTCTAGAATATCCACTCAGGCTAGAACAGAGCCTGTCCTCCCAGGACTGTCCATAACAGGGAACAGTCCTTCCCTCACAGGTGTCCTCCTATCCAGCTTGAGGAAAAAGGAGGCCTCCAGCAGTTAAGCCACATTCAACAACTCTGCCTCCAAGAAGCCCTGGAATTCTGGGGCATAAGGAGAAAGAGAAATATTGGAGTATTTTTGTTCCTTCATCTCTCTTCCCCTTTCTTGTCCTTCTCATTCATACCCCGCTTTCCTCCATACACACAGTCCCCACTTCGCCTGGCAGCCCTAAATCTATTCCAATTCAAGGACATACAAACTAGGCAATCTTTCTTTGGAGAGATGGATTTCTCATGGTTTCTAGCAAAGGATGCTCTCAGTATCCCACATTTTCTAGGACTTCCTTCAAACTCCCCAGCCTCCTTCCTCCCTGACCTCAGTCTGGTGAGGAGGGTTTCCCATTCTCTGCTAGATCACATAGTAAGGTGATAGGGGCAAGGTTTTCTTAGCCTTTCCTAAAAGGATGGTCTGCAGAGGACTGTTTTCACTGCCTCAGGCTTTCAAACAGCCATCAGAGGAGCCCAGAGCTCACATTTCCTCATGCAAGAGCCCCTTTAAAGAACTTTTACTAGAATTTCCCTGCAAGAACTACGTCCAAGTGAATGAAATAGCAAGCCTATCGCAATATCGACGTGGGATTTATATATAATCTGCATGTGCCCACATGATTACCATATTCTCAGATTTCATTTACTGAGCTCTGATTATGTGTCTAGTGTTGGTGTAGGACTCTGACCTTCATAAGTCTAATAACAGCCTATTTCCTAAGGCTTTTTAGAAGTAAACTCTAAAAAGTTTTTGAGGTAAACTCTTCTTGCTGAACTGGACATTTCTGGAGAGCGACATTAATCCTTCATAGCGGTATGAAGGATTAATGCTTTACTATTTATAAAATGCTTCCATAAAATGTCTATGCTGTAAGGGAGGGCAAGCAGGCATTATTCCCATTTTCCAGATTAGAAAAAATGAGGATTAACGAAGTGATTTACCCAAAGTCACAAAGCCGATCACCTGAAACGGCCTACACCCAACTTTTCTGACGGCTAGTCCGGTCCTCTTTCCTAAAACATTTTATGTTTTCTCTGCTCTCTTTTTAGCCTGCCTGTGGCCCTAGTCTTCATGCTCTTCTCCAATCATGCATTGCACAGAGAAAATGAGAGCTAAAAGGAGTTCTCAGGATTACGAAGGCAATGACAAGGTGACAGCAACAGAGAAGCATGGCCTGCACTCTGCGAACCCCAAGACTGATGTTTGGAGATCTTTGTACCACCAGTTATAGTAGCACGCTAGAATTCCCCATGGAACTACCTTATGGTTTCTGTAGAATGGGTCCAAGTCTTCCAGGGGCTTCGCTATCAGCTCATGGGGAATGTCACCATAGAGCTTGGGCAACTTCCTGGAGGCCTTCAGGTCAAGCTGAGGTCGAGGCTGGGGTTCTGCTGCTGTCGGGTCTTTGAGCTCCTTTTTCTCCTTTTGGATGGCAATCCTCTTCTCAATTGCAGCCAGAGAGTCAGAAGTGAAGGGGCGGAAATTCCGCGCATCTGGGAAAATCACTGGGTAGCACCAGTCATCCATCTTCACCCTTAGGACAGAGACAAGCAGTGGCAGATCCTCAGAGAGCTCTGCAAGGTAGAAATCACACAGCCTGCTCTGGGATTCCACTCCCAAAGACTGAGGTGAAAGGGCTTGGGAGCTTATTCGATATGGGACAGGTCAGAAGGCGTGCCCACCACCATGAATACAGCAGGAACACTGGGCACAGGCAAGACCAAAGCAGGGCATCATTCCTGGAGGATCTGGGGATAAGAAGGGAGTTGAGTTTGGGAACAAGGGGCAGAAGAAGCCAAGTCTCTAAAATTGAGACCAAAGCATAGATCAAGACAGTAAGATAACCAGCTGAACTGCTGAAGTGAGGTTTGCAGATGGTAGACAAGTGGCACAGTGTGAAGAGGAGAGGAAGTAATAAGCAATTGAGTGGCCCATGGCTATGGGTTGCAGAATCAAAACTAAGCACATAGGCCTTTTCTCACGTTTGGTCAGCAAAGTTCTTAAAATGGAATGGAATGGAAACAAAAGAGCCGTGAACACAGGCACAAACATTCATGCTAACATTTATGACCCTGTGCCAGCTCTCTTACTTCTGAGACCCAGACCCCACAGAGGTGAGACCCCAAGAAAGCAAAAAGGATTTGTCAAAGCTAAGATGGTCACTCTACCATGGGATGATAGTTCTCCTAGCCCCTATCCCTGAAACTTCCTTCTACTAGAACTTTCTCTACAGCCCCAGACTTAAAACCTGACTCTCAGGAAAAGCGATAGTGCTCAGGTTGAATGCCTTTACTCCCCATGCCAGCCATCCTCTCTTTTCTTATTTACTGAATTCCAATCTAGGACAGACTCCCAAACCGCTCCAGGAACTTATGACGGGGATTCCAACAACATTGGTTTGTTCATTCGACAACCATTTGCTTAGTTCTAGGCACGATGTTAGGCTCTAATGGTGAAAAACCCACAGACCCTCCTCCTGGTTCTACAATTATGCTGCCAAAGTGTAATGGAGAAGACAGATAAAAGACAGAAGATTACATTAGAGTAAGACAAATGCTACTATAGTGAGAAGTAGAGGGTGCTACATCTTTGCATAGGATAGGTGTCTAATTTTGAAGAATCAGAGATGGTCTGCCAAAGCTTTAATGTCTCAGTCAAGACCTGAAGGAGATATCAGACTTAAATAAGAAAAAAGGGGACATAAGATTGTTGCAAGAGGAGCAAATAGCACACACAGGGACCCTTGGGTGAAAAAGAATATGGTCTCTGTCAACAAGTTTTATTAGCCAGGAAAGGGGATTTTGTGGAGCAGAATGGTCAGATAAGGCTCCAGTCAGCAATATGAGAGCACATGGGGCCCAAAAATCCTTAGTAAAGACCATGGACTTCACCCTGAGGGTAATGAGGAGTTGCTAAAGGGTGAGCTATTGTTGTTGTTGTTGTTGTTGTTGTTGTTGTTATGGAAGAGTAACGCTATCCATTTTTGTTTTTTTTTTTTAATATCTCTCTAACGTGAGAATGAACAGGACGTGGGATGGGGGTGGGTGAAGGAAGTGGAGAGGCTAGAATTGGAGAAATGAGCTTGGGAACTCATTGAAACAAATCACAACCACTGAGGACTGTGGAGTGGATGGACCTGAGAGTCACCTAAGAAATAGCCTTGACAAGTGATTAATGGGAAGGGAAGGATTTCAGGAACAATAAGGAACCAAAGTTCCTCGCTGGGGCAGCTGGGTCAACAGTGGTGCCACTCACTCAGATAGAGAGCACTAAGAAAGGAGGAAGGTTTGGGGGGAATAAATTCAGTTTAAAACGCATAGGGTTGGAGCTGCTCGTGGGACCAGCAAGTGGGGAGAACCAGGAGTCACTTGAATATAGAAGAATCACAGCTTACACATTAGGCTCTGAAAATAGTACATGAGGGAAAAAAAGCTCAAACGAACATTGTTAAAACTTTCCTTGACAATCCCTCAGGAAGGAATCATATTGAAGAGGCATTACAACTCACTGGTCAGCAAATTCAATGCAGCCAGCTTTCTTTCTATGTCAGAACCCATCACTCTTTCTTCAGTTAATCCCCAAAGTATTTGGATTATGTTTAAGGGATAAAATAAAGGCAACGTATGTGTCTCTAAACACACTAAGGGCAATGTGATGTTCAGAGAGTGTGAGTGAGCTATTATGTCAACTGAAATGAAATGTGGAACCGTAGATTCACTGCATTCTGTCCTATTCATTCAGGGTCAAGCTCCTCACAGATGTGCTTGGATGGTGGAACTGGCCATACTCCTTAAATTACTCTCTCTCCCCTCCCGTGCTCTCCATTCTTCTTCCCTTCCATTCTACTCTTCTATCTCTCATAAACATGTACAATTGAATTTGTATAAATGAAGTGGGCAGATAATGAGATTCTATTGTATCTGGCTCTGGAGCTCATGAAAGACATTTAAGACAGGGATGAAGTCTTTTTGCAGGTCAATGGCATATGGATGCTAGATGATCCTATGAAATGGATGAGAAAGACCCTGGATGCAAAAACTGGACCTTTTGCTAACTTACAGCAAGGAATCTATTGGAGGGCTGCTGCCATAATAATGAGGCTATTAAAAAAGAAACTGGACACTCTGAGTCTGCCGTTGTGACCCTGGGGATATTCTGCCTGGGTTCTTGAGGAAAAGAGATGTGATAGAAATAAAAAACACAAAATAAAACTGACAATCCCTGAAACGACATACATTAAAGTTTGTTATAGAGGATGAAATAACTAAAGAACCACATGTTAAAGGTAATATTGAAAACTGCAAAAACTGACTCAGGACTTTATGAAAATTATCAACTCAAATATATCTGACAAAATAATATCACATGCAGTAAAATTTTCTTATTAACTAAAAAATTTGATAAAAGAATCAAATATTTTTAATAAAAGATGGGAAAAGTGGACTGTGGAAATAGAGGCTACATGTGCAAAATTAATAAATCAATAAAATTCAATATGGCACATACTATAATTGATAAAATTTGGAATTATTCATATCTTCATTGTGAAATTTATGCCAAAAATACTTAATTCAGAAAATTTTCTGTACAGAAAATAAATTGCATTGTATGGAAAATTGGTTGAAAAATTAAATTAACTGCAATTATTTTCCAAGCCTTACTAATAATCAAGTATGAAGGCAAATTTTTCAGATACTAAATGACTCCTTACAAAAAAATCATTTGCATGTTTGCTCCCAAACAATAAAAGAGAATCCAAAAAATGGAGCATGGAATCCAAGACACAGCATACCTAACCCAAGATCCAAGACACAGCATTCCTAACCCAAGAGTGCAAAAAAAAAAAAAAAAAAAAATCTCAGGATGACTGCATTTCAATCGGCTTAATAAGCGATTGATTCGACTAAAATTAGAGAGTCCACTAGACCTTGACACTTCCAACATTCTCCTTCATGCAGCAGAAGGTCAGTGACATCAGAGTCCATCCTTTTCTCTATGGGGTCAAATATGGTACTTGGTTTTAGAGGCTAGTAGTTACAAAATTATTATTTCATAAAAGTCACATATTCGTTATAAATTTTTACTATCTATAGATAAAGAAGAATTAATTACAATTACAGAATAGAATTCAAATGTGATAAATGTTATAAAATTGTATTGCAAGCTGGAGTTGGAGAGAAAAAATAAAGGAAAGCTCAGAGACACCAACTTCCTCATCTTGAACACTGGAGAATCAAGACAGTCTAAGGAAGGTCGACAGATCAAGGAATATAAGTGTAAGTCTACCCCTTAAAACTATGCAGATAATCAAGTGCAAAACCAAATTAAAAATATAAGTTAAAAAAACTGGAATAATCATGAGGACAGCAGAAAGATTAATGTCTGTAAGCTAAATCCCTCATCTCACATGGAGATGATTCAATAACTTCTGCTTAAACTTGAAAAATCAAGAAATAAAAGTATAAGAATTATTTAGAGTTAGGGAGACAATAAATGACAAAAAGATTAAAAAACAGAAATGGTTAAAACTGCAACTGAGTATATAGGTGCAGGTGGAGACATTTTGTTTTTCATGTTATATCTTTCCCAACACTTTTTCCTTCTGAGCTATTTCATTTACGTGCTTGTATGTGTTACTTTTGCAGGATTGCAAAAGGAATGCAAAAATTTTTTAAGGGCTCAAAACATCCTCTGATTCAAAACAGAGAGTCAAAATATCAGCTATAGCGACAGGCTCTGAATCTCCTTGAGTCATAAAGCAAACAAGCATAATCGCAACTTGCAGCCCTAAAGCAGGATCCAGTGACATGAGAAATCACAGAGACTGGGAGGCCCATGAGGAGGCTGCAAGACAAACACTCACCTAGGAAAGAGGGCCAAGGCCTCACTTCCCAAAGTGGAGACCCTAAACCCCTCAGGAATTCACTTGCACTTAAGATTAGGCAGCTCCAGGCTTTATTTCAAATCTATGAGTTTTACAGAGGTATTTAGATCTGAACTCCAATCGTTCATTCATTCACATGCCGGGTACTGGGACTGCAACGTGAGATAAAACACCGTCCCAGTCCTCCAGGCTTCTACAGTAGTGTGAGGCATCAGGTAAATCAAGGACAGAGGATGAAACCACACAATGAGTATGGCCGCACTAAGGGGAAGCGCTGGGTACTGTGGGACCCACGGGAGGGCATGGTTATAAAGAATCGAAAGTCACTGAGCTGGGAGTTAAGAGGGAGGTGTATGCATGTGTGAAAGCACCGAGGGTAGCAAAGGGTTTTTTTCTTATTTATGACTCTTCTCGTAATTATAAAAGTTATATATCCTCATTATGATGGACATTTTCAGTTTGCCCTCCAGATCTCTCCATCCTTCTCCACCCTGCTCAGTGCCCATGAAACTGATCCACATGGACCCCTCACTGGCATCCCTTGAACTGTGGTTTCTGGTTGGGTTTGGACAATGAGAGGCACCAGCAAGAGACCCAGAGAACGATAGAGAATGAGGTCAGGGTTTCCTCCCCAACTCTCTCC